ACTATGATTCATGGTGGTGACTGATATCCAGACTGATTGTGGTAAACTATTCAGGACACCATCTTCAACTTTATTAGTTGTTAGGGTATCCAAAGCATATATAATACAACCATTTCATCGTTTAGTTTCTCTGTCACAGCGATAGAGTCGATAGTTCTGGATATTCAATTCCGAATCAGATACTGCTTGAGAGCACCATGTTTCAGCGATAAGTATGAAAGAAGGCTTGGTTAGAAAAGCTAATGTTCTCAAGGATGAAATTTTGTTCAGAAGTGGACGTGCATTGATAAGTAATAAGTTTAAAAAGGGAGTATGGAATGTAAAAAACCGAGAGCTCCCCTATCGATGTTCAGTATTTTAGATTTGCATAGACTGTGGTTTGTTGTATTTGACTGGTCATATGAGCTATCGCTTGAACAAACTGTATTGCTAGTGAGACCATATATTTCCGAAGGTCATTTAATAATTATTTTGATAGAATGGATTGATTTGTTGAACTTGACGAGGCGGACAGTTAAGACAGGCACCTGCTAGTTGGGGTTGGGTTGATGGTGAGTAACCTAGTAGTCCATCTTGCCCAAAGGGAAAGTGTCGAGAAAAGTTATGTCTTAAAGGTTTATTATTTAAAACGTTTGAGAGTAACCGTGGGGCACGTTGGTTCACTGCGGTCTGTCTAATATTAGGCCTGCCTACACCGTGATTGTAGTGGCCATCTTGTGAGACATTTGAATCAAGTGCGTATTTGCTTATGGGCTTCTAATGGTAAACTGGAAAATATCAGATTAGTGTCGTCGTTAGATCTACATTGGTTATTAAATGTCACTACAGGTATAATAGGCAAATTAGCACTCTTCGTTGGTAAATCAGAGTACTCGATAACACGAGATAGGGTAGCTGCATCAGTGGATCCAACAGCTGATGCATCGTGATTTGTTATGATCTCAACACCTTTATTTTCGTTCAAGGTACGTTTTTGAGTAAGTCTTTGGTTGGTGGTCTTATCTGGGACTATAAGACCGTTTCTAAACTTCGTGAGCGCACAGATTAGCCGTTCGGATTCTTTGAACTGTTCAGCTAATATATGAGAATCGAATCAGGACAACACCTGGCACGAGTATTTCTGGTGCTTTTTATTAAGTCGGATGCATTGGTATGGGCTGTCTTGAAGGTTGAATGCTTTTAATATCGAGTTCCTTACAGTTTTAATAGGGATTTTGTCGGGTATATTATAGACAATCTCGTTATTACGAGAGATTATCCGCTTGGTAATTTCACTAGCAAAAATATCGATAACAGATTCTGCTTTTATAATGTCACAAAGTTCCGGAAAAACGATTTCCTTTGACAAAAGCAGTTTAAGGGGTGGTAGTGTCTTTATTTCTTGTTTCAAATGATCATGCTTTGACAAAGAGCTAGCAAGTGACTCAACTTCAAAACGCATGTCGTTTAGTTGCTTTAAGATAGTGTTTAATTCATTCTTGATATTATCGATACTTTTTGATCTTGAGGTGGAACTCATTATTAAACTAGAGACGAAGTCATCCAGCAGCAGGTGTGGTGTAAGACCACTCCCAACATTATCAGATTCAAAAGGAGTAGCGGAACATATGATATAGGTAATAACATCATTGTTATCATTTGAAGAATTAGGGCTTTTCCGAGCTCGTTTTTTGACAGTCGATCCATTTCGCTTTAAGTATTAATTCTGATGTTATAAACTAGGATTCAACGATAATCAAACAATATATCTTAGAAACCGAGTTATCGTAACGCAAACTTTGAAAGTACCGCACGCTTGTTTTCTCTGATGGGCTTCGTTTCTCTTATTGTTTATCTGTAGTGACATGAAAATGAAATATATGTACTCAAAAACCATTCTCGTATTTGGAATCTTTTATTTCAGTATTTACTAACGTGACTTAAATCAATGATTAGATATGGGGATAGGCGCGATGTATATCTCGTTAACATTATCATACGATAAGGTTGGAGTCAACCATGGGCAACAATAACTTGAAGCACTTCAAAAATGCATTCAAGTACCTTTATGAAGCCGAATCCGGTATGTTTGGAATAATCAAGCTTACCATCACTTTGATTGCGTGGCTTCTCAAATTACGAAGGACGTGATAGGAAGCCTCCATGGAGTAAAAACATAGATGATCACTTTTAAATCTCCTGACGAGACCACTATAGTAAGTGCATTGCGAAGTAAACTACTCGGGTGACTGACGATCTCTAGTATTTAGCCATAAACTAATACATGAAAATTTGTACCGAAAAACATTCATTTAACTTGAATAAGGCACACTTCAATAACTAACCATTTAAGAGGAAACAGATCAATTCCATGTAAGTGGAATAAATGACAGATAGTCATATTTGCATAAAGCTCATCAGCTAAGCCAGCAATACCTCAGAAAAGTTTAAGTATGAAAATGCCACAGGTATTCGAGGTTTAACGGTGTCTTTGCACGCAACACCTTCATCATCGAAGTATACTGGCCCAGTCAAATCAGAAGTCATAATTAAAGGGGTTCGAAGATATATTTGAGAAGCTCTCGATCGTCTGGTCTAAACTGGCTAGCAGTTGAAAGAGATGCGTAACACGGCCTATCCACTAGTGATCTGGTACGGATGAGTGACTGAGCACCTTCAGCTAGACCGTATCCTACAAAACTAACGAGGTCAGCAGCAATATTGAAGATATATAGAATTACGTATTTTGGGTATCCACATACTGATAAAAGTGTTTCCAGGATTTAATTAAATACAGCCGTGCTTTTGTTATCCAAAACTTTAGAAAATAACCGGAATGAAGTTGAAGTGGAAGTTAACAACGTACTGGACGATGTAGATTATTAATAGAACAAACAGAATCACCACATAGTAGGTATCTTTGACGTGATTTTTGAGCAGTATCTTGTTAGCAGCTTTTGGCTGTTATGCGTTTCGTTCATTTGAAATATGACCATTGGTTTTTACGATCAAGAGTAAAAGAAAAAACGAAGATCGACTGCGTTTTGGTTATAGTATGTCAGGTTCCACAAAATGTTACTGGTTTGATTATTGGCTGTAAAAAAGCGATATAGTGATAAGTAATTTCGATAAGTTTACTAGATTGGCTGGTAGACGCCCATGGGAACTACGTATTGATGATGTCACAGGTATTCAGTGTTTGACAACGCTTCTACCAGTAACACATTCTAATGTATTTCGTTCCCACCCAGAGAAATCAAAAGACAGAGTCGAGGAGATCGGAAGAGTATATTTGGCGATGACCAATATATCGGAATTCTCTGATCTAATCTGGCTAGCGATTGAAGTTGATGTTGAGCACGGCGTTACCACACGTGATCTGGTGCGGATGCCTGACCGAGCGCCTTCAGCTACATGAGTCCACTAAAACATATGGTCAGCATCCAATGTCGAAAACTTAGTGCTATTTATTTTGGGGATTTATTTACCGCTACAGTATGTACTCTTATGTTAATCCTTTCCAAGTATTCGCACAACGGAGTAGCTTAAACATAACACGTGTAATTAAGCGTAGGATTTATATCTAATGGTTCATTCATCGTCGTCCAAAACAGACACAGTTAATTATCACACAAAGTTGATGACACTGACGTCATAACTATAACTGAGTGAGGTTTCATTCGTATGACAGTCGAAAGCTTGTCATGAATGTACAAGACTGTATATCGCGACAAATACTGGAGTTACGTAGTAAGAATAATTACAAATGCTCATTACAGTGCATGGTTATCTATCACGGTTAGTGAATATCTTTCGTAGTAATCTAATATTTTGTGTATTATCAATTTGGATATTTTTTTGTCACGTGAAGGAAATCCATTACGAATACAGTTAGTGTTTATGCTATACCTCCTCTGGTGGATGTAGATTATCCAGTATTTGGTTCAGTGGAATAAATTCTTAGGATGATCAACCATTTAAGAAAATCCCCATCCTAGATAAACATATGGCAAAGTCAGTGTCAAAGAGTTTTAAGATAAATTTTGTTCAAAGATATAGAGTATCAAGGAAGTGAAAAACTAACCACAGTGAGATCATTAATAAACTTCCACTGAGACTTTAGTTTACTACAGCACGGCACCAAATATTATTCCATAGTTGAAAATGTATTCAGATATGAAAGTCACATTACGCTTTTCCTACGATTTACGTCAACTTAAGATACCAATAAAAATATTTGCTCCCGCTAAAGTGATCCGTTGTATACTTATGAATATACAAAATGATTTCAAATAAGAACAAAACAGCTGTCCCGGGCTCTTTGGTTGTTAACCAGTCAGTCACTGAAAAAATTCACCTATAAACTAAATTATCTAGGACAACAAAATTAGAGGAAATCATTCAACACCTGTAAGCAATTGTGACAAAGTAAATCAAATCTTGGGCCAGATTCACTAATTCGATTGTTTTAGATATGTTCACTAGCATTTATTTGTCCAAAAATGTTTTTCACTTATTTGGTCATAGTTAGCATAGAAAATACTAAAAAGATGCTTTATTTCTAGCGACTCATTTAGAACTACAATCAGTCGAAAATAACGGAGAATCTTGATATATAATGACTTGAAAAAGATATATAAATAAATGAAGGTTTTAAATACCTAACAATTATACTTTCTTATGACATTTTAATCGACAGCAAGTTATAATTTAAAAATAACTACAGACTAATGAAGCTGTCAAAAATACTCAGATAAATTAATAAACATTTTATCTGTAAAAGTACCTAACCTTTAATGAATTAACTAAAGTACACGACAGTACAGAACGTACCTATAAGAGAAATATTTCCAATAGAATTTGTGAGAAACAAGCAAAAGATATTGAAACAATATTTTATTTGATGGAAAAGTAATTATCATTTGCTCACGTTTATTAAACGATCTGGAAATTAAATAAGAATATTAGATGGCAAATAATATACTGAATAACTTTATTTATTTGTATTTACTATAATTGTATTAACTAGTGTATGGTGCAGTCAATGTTGTCGTACGACGCCACAAACCAGGGTTATACGGATTATCATAGATACCTCTAGGTACTGAATTCCTGCGAAGTTTTTCTTTTAATGCTTCATCTGGATGTTGTGGACCGCGTTTTCTAGGTTGAAACGATTCCGGTCGTTTCATATCATTTGTAAATACACGACAGATGAATAGACAGTCATGGCAATAACCACCATATACATGATAGCTTCTTTTATTGTCTTTTTTCATTTTTCGACAGACCAAAATATATCCAAAACTAATTTCGTTTAACAAAAATAAGCTGATAAAAATGAAAATAAATTTTTTGTTTAACATCACTTATACAGACAAGGTCAAGTTAAAACTAAAAAACTAAAACAAATGACCAAATCTTTCAATTTCCAGTACATGTAATATTTTGCACTTCCTCATGACAACATCAATGAACTATTGATTAGAAGTGCACATTACATTCACTTACCGAAAATTATATTCCTATCAGAATTATATATATGAAGGAATAGTTTTTTAGTTAGGCGTTCATCATCATGCTAGACTAACATCGTCATTTTATAATTGTATACTAAATTATTACCGATCAAATGATTGGGTGTCAATAATATTAATTTTTTAATTTTTGATTTAACAAAAATATATCAGAATTCGAAATTATGGTTGGTTTTCAAGTTTTAGTGCATATTATATTGTATAAACTAAGTAATTTGAAACAGGATGTTAGCAAAATTTTTAATATTTTGTTAAAGATAAGAAGTGTCCGTTTAATTAGCCAAATAAATTAATCAGTTACATACAATGTAACTTGGGAATTTAAAACAAGTCGCATAAGGTTAAGTTAAGAGTAATAAGAAAAAAGGTGGGATAAGTCATTCAAACAGTTTATAGCACTGATTACGTAAGTTTACAAGTCAAAATTGGAATATGTAATGACAGTTTATGGAAGCAACAAACGATTTGATTATTCAGTCTTCTAGCGGTAATTCTAACTAAATGCGATTAGTCAAATAAATACATCAGTGCTATTTCCATGACCATTCACTGAGTACGATTAATTATCATTGATTTTAAATTTGGACATTGCAGATATCATTTGTCCTTACCTCGCTTTGTTTCAGAAATTGTGGCTTATTTCAACTTTAATTCCTTTAAAAGCAAATAACTAGAAGTATGGCAATAATGATAAAAAATCAAATAGTCAGATGACTAACGAGTTTGATTAAAAACTTATGGGGGGAATTCCATTCAATATATGTAAGTGTGATTAGTCTTACACTTTATTTAGAGTAACTGCCGACGATGTCATTCACAGCATCAATCAAAACTTTGTGAATGAACCACTTAACTCAGAAGACACAATATAATACAAGACATAAGTCAAAAATTCAGACCAAAACTTTCAAAGTGGTAAGTAACCATGATCTAACATTATAACCAACATATTAAAAAGATATACCATTAAAAAAGACGTTAAGGCAAAACCAACTTGATATGGGATTTTGTTTTATTGTCGTCTACTTTGTCAACAGATATGAATTCGCAATTTATACAAGCCCATAAACCATACAAACAATACGAAAAGTGTTCAAAAATTATTATAAAAGAATCATTAGGACTTTCAGAAACTAAAAAATGTAGTCAGAAATTATAAAAACCACTTATTTTATATATTTACAAGTAACTAGGTTAAAATTAAGAAATGGTAAGACTGAAAGCAATCGTTTCCCATTGAAAATCATCAAAAAGTAATAAGAACTTAAAATTCATTGAAATAGTTTAACTGTTCTACACATAACGTTATGAAATGAGACCAAAATCTAATCATATCCATCAAAAGGGAAAGATAAAAATATCAAAATGAGTTACAAAGAATTATGTTCATGAAAAAAGTTTACGCGTGATAAATAGATCCAAGTGCTGATGGTATGCTTGTAAAGGTTGGTGGTGGTATTTTGCCAAGTACATACTGTTTTGGTAACACTTCCGTATAATTGTTTGTTCTGATGACACAAAAAACTACCAAGAAAAACAAGAATAGCGGTAAACCTACAATAGCTACAAGAATTCCTGCTATCCAAACATCTTCACGTACTCTAGCTATTCCAACAGAAATCATTAAACAACTTAAAATGCACAAAATCATTCCAGCAGCCAGTAATGGAATATCTATTTTTGTTTTTCTATACAACTCTATTTCACACATCTTAGGCTATTTTCTTGTCTAAGATTTTTTGATTTAAATCGAGATCAAGATAAATCCAAGGAATAGAACATATATTAGATTGAAAGAGTTAAATCATCAAGATTGAAATGATGGAAACTAATCCACTGGACGTTGTATTTGTGTTCACTTATAGATATAGGATCACAGTTCAGTGCGATTTATTATCTGTCAAAAGAAAATTGGAAAATGAACGATATTCTGCAAAAAATTATGTTAATTTTTCATTCTATCGGAAAGTTTAAAAAATGTAATGTGAAATAACTTGAACGATTTTCAGTAACTCCATTACGATATTTTGATCATACTTCCAAACATGTTCATGGTTATGTTTTGAAACTGACTTTCTACGTTTCTTTATGTTAATTAGCTAGGTGCTGAAATTCCTAGCAATATTTAGTGGTAGGTCAGGCAGTCAATTCAAAGAGTTCAGAATATTCATACCAATTAAAAGCCTCCTTGAGAAATGTACTCTCATCTTAGACTATTTTGGCACTAAATAGTTAAGAACAGATCACTACAAAGTCACGAAGAACCTCTGTGCAATAAATACAAGACATTTTGAAGTTCACGAAGGTTATCAAAATACTGTTGGGTAAAATTTCAACCACCGACGGAAATATTAACTACGGAATATAACGATGAAACAAGGTTCCATGTATTCCTAAAACTAAACAACAAATAGCAAGATGAGATAAATATAAGGTGTATGAAGTACCATAATGATCATTTTTAACCATGAATCACAGCAATGTTATAAATTTTTTCGAGCATTCAATAGTTATGATCAATTATCCTTTATCAAGGAGTATTTTCAATTAATGCCAGAACAAGAGTGTAGTAAAAACTAAATTCGACAATAATGGAAAATGTGTAGATCTTACATAAAACTGATTATACCGATAACATGAGTGAATGCTCCATATTTCACATAGTACTTCAATAAAATATCAGTTATTACTAATAATTTATGGAGAAAGAGATCATAATTCCCAAGTTTCTGATAACACCTACTTCAAACTCTGTAATTATAACATATCTTAGAAATTCTAAAAAATGAAGGTATTTTATTCTTGTTATTGCTTCAGTAATTCAATGAGTTTAAGAACAATCAATATGTAACTCAACTATTGATAACAGTGTGAAAGATTTCATGACCTAAAGCAACAAGACGATTCTACCAGAAATCAGAATGTACACCTAGGAAATGATCTATATATTTCTTGCAGATTATCATCATGTTTTAAAGTCGTTTTCGCAATTGTGTCTCCTGAGATGCTTCTGACTTACATCCATATTTTCGGCCCGTTAAAAACGGAGTGGCAGAAGTTGACAAACGTGGATAACTTTATTATCTATATCAAACTTTTGGCAGCAACCATTACACAGTGACTGAGATGTCCGGAGCTTCTGAAGTACCCAATGCATCTAACCACTTCGCTCCCCGATCGATATCGCGCACATGGACAATATTTAGGTCGTTGTGGGAGGAAAAAGCTTCCTACGTACTTTATTATTTCTGTTTAACATACCAGATAGATTAAATGTATGGTCACTTTTCACTACATATATGTTAAAAGTGCAGCCCGGGATTATTTAGATAGAAAATCCAAAATCATACTGACAGAATAGTCTGACATTGTAATGAATCAAAGAAAAGAGAAATAAACGTAAATTCCTTCAAAGTTTGTAACTCAGCCATCATGAGGTTGAATTTACTCAAATATTGAGAACGTCTGCCTCGCATACAATAGACGAATAAAGTGAAACTATTAACTGGAAGTAAGTTGAAGAGACTGGGTAGCGAAATCACCGGAATATTTGAATTACACTTGTGAGATTCAATAAAGTTCACCATCGCTGAAAAAGTTGAAGACCACCTAATAAGTTTCAGAAGCTGGTCTGCGTAAAGATAGGCATGAATCCTGTTGAAAAGGTAAGCCAATTATTTATCTCCTGACGTTTAGGAAAAATGCCCTAAAATACCTCGGAATTAAACTACCAAGGATTACCGAAACTGACACGTCTAATTGTTCTCCAGCAAAGGATATTAAAAGTAAGATGCAAGGAGGAAACAACTCGTTTTGTGATCCATGGTCGAAAAGATTATTAGTAAAGAAAAACTGGGGCCGATAGCGCTAAATGTTGTGAAAAGTCGTTGACAGCTCTGTTTACCTGTATTTTTTTAGACAAACGTGACGTATATCCTCGAAATTCTAGGGAATTTCCCCAGATCTGTGTATTTTTTGGGCGTTTGAGCAATTTGACAAAAACCTTTTATACTGGCTTCCTCAAAAAACGACAAAATGTTCCGCAAAAGTAGGGAGACTAGGTGTAAAGGGAACTGTTACCACATTCGCTTGGCTGGTCGTAACTGGAACATTTAAAGGAACCGTAGATACAAACTTACGTTCCGTACCGTCAAAAATCTACGGGTTAAACAAAACACTTCACTACTCAGCTGTACGAGCAGTTAAAAAATCAAGGAAACGTTAACTATTTCAAACTGACACTCTTTACATTACAAAGTAAAACAAATGTATAAGGTTTCAGAAGGTTATTGAAGCAACAGTTGTTTTTATTGATTGAGGAGTAGGCTGGTTACTGTTTTATATTATATATGGCTTTAAAAACGTTAATCCAAGTTAAGAGGACTTTACTGGAACTGTCCAAGTAATTTGAGTTAAAATTGGTAAATGAGGAATGATTCTTCACTAAAACAAGAAGCAGATTTTTATACGAGCCTTAGTTTTGCGACACTTTAACTCGAGTGAGTAACGTTTAGGCTTTTGTAGATGGAAATGTTAGTAACATACATTCTCTATGTTGTTCCCAATGTATTAAACGATAAATGTTGATCTCTGTCTTATATTTGTTCCGAATTTCGAGACATACTATACAGCTAGGTTATTTAACTTCCCAATGAACCACTTTACAGTGTTTGTTGAAGTTATGGAAGAATATGATTTGATTTCAAATTCATGATCATCTGTTCAACCTAAAAATCCAACTCATATCATGCCGAGAGGACTTGTTATTTTAGTGTGCAAATTATCTATGCAAAGTATGCTCAGGGTTTATCATATTCATACCATGTGTTTCATATTTCGCTAGTCAGAGACTGAGATGTTTCTTGTAGCCTATATTGTTATAATCCAGCACAAGCTTGTAGCTGTAAATAAATCCCCAGAATCAATAGCTCTATAATTTTTCGACATCTGATGCTGACTGCATTTGTCTTGATGAACTCATCTAGCTGAAGGCACTCGATCATGTTTTCACACTAGATCAAGAGTGAGTACGCTGTGATCAACTTCTCTTACAACCACCAGTCACCTCTCAAAATATCGGTAGCCTATCGAATTTATCTTCGAACCTTTTCGCTTCTGACTTCTGGTTTCACTGGGTTGGTATGTTTCGATTACAGAAGGTGTTACTGGTTGAGATGTTGTCAAATTCTGAGTACTTGTGGCATCTTTAAGGTCTATAACGACTCACATGCAATTGAGTTTTTTCTCATTTAACTTAATCAAGCCCTTTTGCTAACTTATTTAGCGGACAAAGTCATCCGCACTATAACAACTTGTTGTACTTTTATTATTATTGTTCTTACATGAAATATGTGTGGACGAACATTGTTTACCGCCTACGCAGATATCCATTCTACTTGAGTCATATTTTGACCTTGTTAATTATTCGCTTATCAGTCATGACTGTTTTTATAAGAGTGTATATGTGTGTACACTTCACACCCCATATCTCATCACATGTCTGTAGTTTATTTTGTCCGCCTATGAATACTGAGTAACGCCTGGCTAAAAATGAGTTGGCTTACCAGCCATCTCCCTTGCGCGTCATTTCGCTTTGTTCTATCGCATTCACTTTACATACAAAATATATGTATTCAAAGGCCATTCTCGTTAACTGACTTATCTAAATTCCGTTATTGACTAACGCGATTTAAGTCGATGATTGTATACGAGGATAGGTGATATATATATTTCAACAACAATCATCATTACGATATAAATGGAGTCAGATCGACGGACCTATAAAAGTCTTTATTCTTTAGTATTGTCGAGTATTCGAAGCAACATTAAACTTCAACTAAATCATCAGTCAGGTCGAATTTGTATCTACCTCAGAACACCACAACATTGGAGAACAGAGAAACAGGTAGGTGGATCATTTTAAGAAACTCTTGAACCGACCAGCCCTGCTGAATTTACCCAATATCGAAGCGGCACCTACGGACCTCCCAGTTTATGTTGGCCAGCCAAAAATTGAAGAAACCCGCATAGTAATCAGAAAAATCAAGAGCGGCAAAGCAGCTGGACCAAACAACATTCAAGCAGAGGCACTGAAAGCAGACGTAGCAGTAACTGCAAAGATATCCCACATTCTCATTAGCAAGATTTGGGATGAAAAACAAGTTCCAACAGATTAAAAAGCAAGATACCTGATCAAGCTACCAAGGAAAAGTCTTCAACAGGGTATTGTTAAACAGGATGAAGGACTCCACAAACGCCCAACTTCGAGACCAACAGTCTGGATTCCGTAGGGATAGATCGTGTACAGACCGAATCGCAACTCTACGGTTCATTGTGGAATAATCAATTGAATGGGATTTATCACTACATCAATTTCATTGACTAATAAAAAGCATTTGACAGCATAGACAGGAAGACATTATGGAGGCTTCTTCGACACCATAATGTGTTTGGGAAGATAGTCAGCACCATACGGACTTCCTATGATGGATTACACTGCAAAATCGTGCATGGAGGACAGTTGACAAAGTCGTTCGAAGTGGAGATCGGTGTTAGGCAAAATTGCTTACTCTCACCATTTCTCTTTCTCCTGGTGATCGACTGGATCATGAAGACGTCAACAGCTGTGAGGAAGCATGGGATACAGTAGCCAGCTAGGATGCAGCTGAACGATCTAGACTCCTCAGGCAATCTGGCTCTTCTATCGCAAAC